AAACATATTTTTAAATTTCACAAAATAAAAAGAAATTAATTTTTAAACATATCATTAAAAATTAATTATTTTTATTGACTATTAAAATAATAGCTAATAAATAATAATTTTAATGACTAATATAATTGATTTAGTGACAATCACATTATTGTTATTAAAAATTATTTTTGTGGTAGTACAAATTTATCCACCTGATAATATATATTAGTTTAGGTTGTAACTCATTCAATATCTAAGTCCTCAATGACTTGTTTTGTAGTGTTGACTAATAGAAAACTATGTTTGATTTGTAATGTTGTTGATGCTTTTGATAGATTTTATATACTTTATAACCTTGAACTATTGATAAACAAATTAGTAATATTATATGTTTTGAAGTGATGAGATGGTAATATGTTTTGTAAGTAAATATATTTAACTTATTATTTTAATGATAAATCTAATGAATAATCCAAAATAATTGAAATATTAGATCAGTTCAAATCAAAAACTTAAAAAATATTAATTTAAATCAATTAAAGTTGATCCAATAAAATTAAAAGAAAAATCATTAATCCGTTCATATATATCCGTGCCACTCCTAATAGCAACGCTATTTCTTTTCCCACTAGGCTGTAATAATCAAAGAAATTTAATTTAAAGAATAATTTACCGGGAATTGCATGGTTTAAGATCGGGTAAATAATTGCATGCAGCAAAAATAATTTCATAATGCAGTGTGAGAGATAAAGTGGAAGTTTGTCATACATCAACATCTTTTAAGCCTCTCTTGAAAACTCAACGCACATCATTGTCATAATTGAATGCCAGGTGGCTTACATGCAAGCCTTTACACCAACACCACAACGTACATGTTTGGATACATGTAACGTAAAATATTTATACTAATATCGAATATTCCTTTTAATATTAAATCTAACACTAATTGTTAGATTGAAAGTTTATATCACTTTATATGTGTATATTAAATTTTGTTAAAATTGAACAAGTTGAAAATAATCAAAGTATTCATATTTTAGTGTATTTTGAAATGAATATATTACATCAATTTTGTTTTACAAAAGTAAAGTATCAAATCATCTTGGATTAATATAAAATTTTGTATATATAATTTAAGAGATATAAATTTTCAATCTAACAGTTGGATTTACAAAATTAATAATTAATATTAAGTTATTAAGCGGTGTAATACTTAATAAAAGTTACACCGGTATAATTATAACTTCCTCATATATATATATTAGAACTATAGTTTATGACTTAATCATTCATACACTGCTAGTTTAAATTTTTTACACTGGTACCCAATCATATCATTTAAATTATTTTATTTTATTTTTATTTCATTAAATGAATAACTGACATTACACTATTAGAAGATATGATTAGTTGTCAATGTAAAAAAACTTTACACTAATAATGTACAGATAATTAACTCATAATTTATACATCATCATAAATAATACTACTGCAAATAAAATTAATATTATTATAGGAGTCAGTAGGTATTGGATGAGAATCGCATGACTAGAGTTTAACGTTTCACGTGAAACGTACGACAAATTATTTTGAACCTGTTGCTCTCATTGCAGAAAAACATGAAATAAACAGTGTCTATAAATTGCTGCATGAGAGAAGGAACCAACACAGGAAACATCCTTTGGAAATACTAAATCAAGCAATGGCTTATGTTAGGCTTGCTCCTTTGGCTCTCTTCTTTCTTGCCACTTCAGGTATATATATAGCGTTTCAATATCATGAGTTCTTCTTCTTCTATATATACACACTCCCAAAATTATTTTTTCTTCTAACTTTGGCATATGATATTTAGTAATATTCTCGATGAAAAAGATAGAAGCAGTGGATTGTTCGGGTGCTTGTTCACCGTTTGAGGTTCCACCATGTGGCTCGACGGATTGTCGTTGTATCCCCGTTGGACTATTTGTTGGTTACTGCACATATCCAAGTGGACTTGCATCGGTTACAAAGATGATCGTTGAACATCCCAACCTATGTCAATCTCACCTTGAATGCAAGAAGAAAGGAAGTGGAAACTTTTGTGCTCGTTATCCCAATAACTATATGGATTATGGTTGGTGTTTTGACTCTGATTCTGAAGCACAAGCACTAAAAGGTTTCCTGGCAATGCCAAGGGTAATCGCCAAGTGATATGGGTATGCCAAATGAATGTAACCACGCATGAAGCATCTACTACTTTAACTAAATAAAAGCTTATGATGCATCACTACTTTCAATAATAAAAGGAGTCTTCCAGATCTTTGGTTTCCAACTCATCGTTGGTTATTTGTAGACTCCATGTACGTTTATATTGTTGTTACAAATAGATAAGAATTCAAAAAAAATGACAAATATATAGTCACCAATATAAAATGAGCGGTTATAATTAATACATACCAACACTACTTTCAATAATAAAAGGAGTGTTCCAGATCTTTGGATTCCGTCTCATCGTTGATTATTTGTAGACTCCACATACGTTGATGTTGCTGTTACAAATAGATAAGAATTAAAAATAATAATAATAAATATATAGTGACCAATATAAAATCAGCAAGACAAAAACAAATTTATGAAAAAATAGGATTACGTAAACAAGGTGAAGTTGTGTTATAAAATTTAATTTGAAATATTAATAAACTAAATAACTTTCATATTTATTTGAAATTCAACAGAAAAAAAATGTTACATAGAGATAATTATTTGATTTCTACTGTACCTTTATATATTTAAAAAGTTTTGAAACTGCTTTTTTGTTTTTTATTTTTGTAGGAAGAAAAGAATTGTAGGTGTCAACATTTAAGGGGTAAATGATAGAAGAGAAATAATGGATCCTGATGAGGTAGTACTAGCAATTAAAACCTCTTAGAGGTATAGGTACGGGGTGGGACTGTGATTTATGGTTGAAGTGGACCTCGTGCCAAAATTGAAAAATTACATAAGGCTGACACATAGAAGCTATAGAATGGGGCTTCAAGGGATTATTCAAGGATTGTGACAGCCTAAATTTGGAGCAGTAATTTAAAATATAAGTATGTAATGTTGGGACAGTGGGGCGGCATGAGCGAAAGTATTATTTGATTTCCTATGTCTCAAAATTAAAGGTAAATAAAAAAAATTATATTGAATTTTACATATTTATAATTTTAACAAATGATTTACTAAATTACAATATTAAATTTTCTATATTTTTAAAATATAATTTCATTATTAAAAAATATATTATTTTTTATATTTTATTTGTGAATTTAAATTAAATTATCTCTATTTTTAAATGAATTTCTATTTTTATAAAATAAATAAGTTTTAGCATTATCTTTATTTTTAACATAAATTTAAAATATTATAAATAATATTTAAATTTTATATATAATTATAATATTTAATTATTTAAAAATAAAAGAATATAATTTAATTATACTAAAATCATTTTCAAATTTTGAAAATTAAAATAAATTAAATATTTTTTAAAATTTTAAAAAATAGAAAAGAAAAAATGCAAAAAAAAAAAAAATACGACCCATCAGAAATGGATATGATAGAACCTGAACAATAAAAAGATGTTCTTTATGTTGAAATCTAAGTCACTCTAAGAAAAAATATCTTTATCGTCCAGGAAATTCAAATCAAGAAGTTTAAATGGACGATTTTTCACAGCTTGCATCTCAATTTCTATTGATTTTGTTGTGTGTCTTTCATCAATATCATTTTCTATAACTTTAATGTGTTTGAATGAAGTTATCAATGAATCTATAACGATACCACTTTTAGGTCTCAAAATGTCCCTAACACCTTTTAAAAGTCATTCAAAATTTAGAATAATTAGATTTTTATACCAACAATTTTTTATTTTTAATACCAAATTTAATATATAATAATATATAATTTTATATTAATATTTAATGTTATATAACTAAAATGTATAACATTCCTTTTAATGAAAAAGATTAACATATTTAAATATTCTTTTTTGTGATTTAGATTTTTTTTCCTATATTTATTAAAGAAAAACCAATTAAATAAATTAAACATATTTAACAAAACAAACATAAAATTAAATTAAATCATTTCTCTGGACATTTTTTTATTAATTAGATTCTTTTTTAATTTATTTTCTTATGTTTTTATTAGAATGATTTTTAAAAACTCAAAAAAAATTAAATTATCTTTTTTTTAGTTAACAGATTTTTAAAAAAAATTAATCAAATATCTATATTTATTACAAAAATAAATAAATAAATAGATTATATTAAAATATTAAAAAATATATATTTATTGAAAAAATTAAATTATTAAATGAATTTAAAATATTAAATTATCAATATTATTAAATAACATTGAAATATTTAAATTATAAAATATATTAATTTTTAAATTTAAAATTTTAATTATAACTAGAATAATTTTTAAAATATTTACAAAAAAAAATACACTAAAAAATGAATTAAAATAATCCCGATGAAAAATCAGTTTGGGAGCCACCGATTAATCAAAGGGACTTCAAATATTTTTGATAAAAACGTAAATGAAAAATCATTTAATGGGAGATTGACTTTCAATTATAAACAGTAAAACTGGTTATTTAAGTAAATAAAATGAAGTCTGAGTTATTTACAGAAATATTAAAACAAAACAACATATTTTAAAAAAATAATGATAAGTCATAATACTACAACCAAAAAAATTAACAGCCAGTAGGTGTTGGAGGGTTAAAAATGTAGATCAAGGATCTAGTACTTGTTGGATGAGAAGCCCATGACTAGAGTTTGCATGTCGAAGCTGATACATACGTGTCCCATGTTGCTGCGCATGCACGATCCCTATCATCCACGAGATGACAACGAAGAACTTGAATAAATACATCAAAATCAAATTAAAAAAAGATACTTAAAATAAACGTTTCACGTGAAACGTACGACAAATTATTTTGAACCTGTTGCTCTTATTGCAGAAAAACATGCAATAAACAGTGTCTATAAATTGCTGCATGAGAGAAGGAACCAACACAGGAAACATCTTTGGAAATACTAAATCAAGCAATGGCTTATGTTAGGCTTGCTCCTTTGGCTCTCTTCTTTCTTGCCACTTCAGGTATATATATAGCGTTTCAATATCATGAGTTCTTCTTCTTCTATATATACACACTCCCAAAATTATTTTTTCTTCTAACTTTGGCATATGATGTTTAGTAATATTCTCGATGAAAAAGACCGAAGCAGTGGTTTGTTCGGGTGTTTGTTCACCGTTTGAGGTTCCACCATGTGGCTCGACGGATTGTCGTTGTATCCCCGTTGGACTATTTGTTGGTTACTGCACATATCCAAGTGGACTTGCATCGGTTACAAAGATGATCGTTGAACATCCCAACCTATGTCAATCTCACCTTGAATGCAAGAAGAAAGGAAGTGGAAACTTTTGTGCTCGTTATCCCAATAACTATATGGATTATGGTTGGTGTTTTGACTCTGATTCTGAAGCACAAGCACTAAAAGGTTTCCTGGCAATGCCAAGGGTAATCGCCAAGTGATATGGGTATGCCAAATGAATGTAACCACGCATGAAGCATCTACTACTTTAACTAAATAAAAGCTTATGATGCATCACTACTTTCAATAATAAAAGGAGTCTTCCAGATCTTTGGTTTCCAACTCATCGTTGGTTATTTGTAGACTCCATGTACGTTTATATTGTTGTTACAAATAGATAAGAATTCAAAAAAAATGACAAATATATAATGACCAATATAAAATGAGCGGTTATAATTAATACATACCAACACTACTTTCAATAATAAAAGGAGTGTTCCAGATCTTTGGATTCCGTCTCATCGTTGATTATTTGTAGACTCCACATACGTTGATGTTGCTGTTACAAATAGATAAGAATTAAAAATAATAATAATAAATATATAGTGACCAATATAAAATCAGCAAGACAAAAACAAATTTATGAAAAAATAGGATTACGTAAACAAGGTGAAGTTGTGTTATAAAATTTAATTTGAAATATTAATAAACTAAATAACTTTCATATTTATTTGAAATTCAACAGAAAAAAAATGTTACATAGAGATAATTATTTGATTTCTACTGTACCTTTATATATTTAAAAAGTTTTGAAACTGCTTTTTTGTTTTTTATTTTTTAAATACATGAACATTTGGTATTTTAGAATAATTTAATTACATTTACTTTTTTTAATTTAAATATATATTCTCTTAAAATTCTTAATATATATATATATATATATTATATATATATTATGAAATATTTGGATTTATTAAGGATATCTTTTTTATATATCATCAATCATGATAAATTAAGATTCTTCATACTCTTGTATGTAAATTTTGAGAAAAATTGAGTAAAATATTCACAAAATCTTCCTCTACTTCAAGAAATATAACTTTATTGTATTTTTTAAAAAATTATTTTGATTTTTACAAAATGATTTGGAACACTTAGACTAGTACTGTTTGGTGAGAAGAAAGAATAGGTTAATTATTTAGATTATTTATTCATCAATAATACATCACTTAGTGTAGAGAAAAAAAATAAAAGTAAAAAAAAATCCACAAATTAAATCATTTTTATTGATTTCAAAAATTAACCATACGAAAACATATTAATTTACACACTATTAAAATTTCTCTTATTACATGCAACTTTTCCTGCGAATTTTGATAAAAAATTCGCTAAAAATTCGCAGGAAATGTTGTTCTTACAAATTTTTCTGCGAAATTTTATCTGTAGGTAATACCCTTGTGGATAATATATTTTTGCGAATATTAAAATTTCCTGCGAAAAAAATTTGCAGGAAAGTTTCTTGCAAAAAAAAAATTTGCAGGAAAGTTTCCTACAAAAAAAAATCACAGGAAAGTTTCCTGTGAAATTTTTCCCAAAAAATTCTGCAAGAATATTTTTTATGAAAAAAATTAAAGAAATTATTATAAATTCTATCAATAATTCTTCAACTTTCAAATGTTCATAATGAATTCATTTGAAGCATTTGTTTCCATGCCTCCAACATGTGATACATAATCTTTTAAATTCTAAAATTGTAGATTATAAGCCTAACACTCAACCATACAAATCAACTTGTAAGGTAAGTATTGCCCCAACTTATATACTCTTTAATTTTTTTATTTTCAATCGATATGGGACTTGAAGTTTTTTTAAAATCTTAAACATATAAATTTAAATATTTTTTTAATTTTTCCTGCGGATTAAAATTTGCAAGAAAATCTGCAGGAAAAGTTACCTGCAAAATTTTTCTACCATTTAGTAAACATTACTTGCGAATTTATTTTTGCAAGAAAATCTGCAAGAAACAAAATAAAATTCTTACAATATTTTCTGCAAACTTTTACCATGGAAAAAAATTTCTATGATTATTAAAATTGTAGCAAAATTTGTAAGAAATATCTGTAAATTATTTTTCGCAAATAATTTCTGCGAATATTTTTTTGCAGGAAAATTCGCAAAAAATTTCTGCGAATATTTTTTTGTCGGAAAATTCACAAAAAAATTCTATAAATATTTTTTTGCAGGAAAATTCGCATGAAAATGACACTTTTCTAGTAGTGACATGAATATTTTTTTGGCATTACCAATTCAGAATTGCTGATTAGTTCTAATTCTTGCGGGTGTGTCACTAACGTCGTGGATCAATATATATAGTAGTGTCAAGTGTCAACCATATATAACTTCATTAATGTTGGTAGTTTTTCATTATCATAATTAAGTATTTTAGGGTTTAACTTCATTAATGTGTGGTGGGTGGAAAAATCTGCAAGAAGGTGAATATCCAACTACAACATCAATAGTGAAAAGACTTCGGGAAGATGTGTGGAGGTGTAGATCAACTTCATTGGTTTAACTCCGGATTTGAATGGAATATTGGACAAGGTGATAGAGCACAATTCTGGTTAGATAAGTGGATTGAAAAAGAAAAAAAAAAAAAAAACAACCTTTGAAGGATAGGTTCCCGTGATTATTCCAAAACTCGGAGCAAAAATATGAAACTGTGGGTGACATGGAAAGTTGGAGTGGACAGGTATGGAGTTGGGATTTTAAATGGGAAAGACCATGGTTTGAAAGGGAGATTCAACAGTTGATACAAAGCGAAGGCCCACAAGGGCAGGAACCTGATACATGGAAATGGTTGTGTTTTTACCTGAGATTGGTGGGTAAGACGATCTTTGGATGAGATCGGTGAGCCTCCTCTGCGTGGTACGTTTGCTGCTCCAAGATGGGGGTGGTACCTGCAAAAGAGACTCCAATGCTTAAGTTAGTCTTTGTGGATGTATGAGTCTCATATATATAGTGCATGTACCTTGATATAATTAGGGTTTTTCTTCTGTTGATAATTGAGTTGGTTAGGATATGATAAGATCTCCTTCTTATCAGCTTATCTTATCTGTTGGAGAGATGGGTCGACCTTCCGAGTTGGCGTGGTCCGAGCTCATCATCGCCAGGGTAGGCCCTAGTGCCTATGTGGGCGGTACACTTGCCCCCCGAGCTCCGAGGCCTTGTAGCCGAGGATTTTGTTTTGAGGTCGATGAAGGGCTCTGACCCTTCATTTCTACCGTTGGGTTTGGGGCCACATGTTACTCAAGTGTTGCCTCATTTCACGAACGGAGGCGACTATAATAATGAAGGGTGACGTCTCATAATGATGGGTTGTACCCTGTCATTATGGCATTGTATTTAATGCCCTTGTCTCTTGTCATTTTTTTGAAATAAATTTCAGGTTCCCTCCTTATTTCCCCATAGCTTTCCCTTTGTCTCTGTGCTTCCCTTCTTCCTAGTTCTGTCATCTCCTTTCGTCGTGCTCTTGTTTCTCTGTGGTGGTGTCTTCCTCGCTCGTTGTTGTCGTTTGTGAGTTTCCGTTCTAGGAGTACCAGGTATTTCCCCTTCCTCTCTCTTTCTCTCCCCATTTTGTTCGAATGATGGGTGGCGAGGGTTCCGCTCCCCCAAAATCCGCGACGGTCAAGGCCAAAGGAAAGGCCAAAGCGCGTGGGGATGTGGTGGTGGCAGTCGGGGAAATGGTCGCTGCAGGTGAGGAAAAGAAGAAAAGGGTGGAAACAACCCCAAGGATTCGCATCCCACCATCTCCATTCCAGGCTATGAGTGGGTTAGGGGGGACGTTAGGGAGTTCGAGAGTAGGTATAGGTCTTTCCTCGAGGTGGACGCTTTGTGGGAGTTGTTGCCGATTTGCAAGTCGTCCATTTCTAAGCTTATCCGGGTTGAACCTTGTCAGCCCAGTGAGCGTGTCTATATGGCTGGTACAGCGAACACTCCCTTCTTCTATATGTATTTGTACTTTTTAAGGACCTCGGTTTTTGTTTTCCATTCACCGAGTTTGAGTGTGACTTCCTTTCATTTATCAACGTGGCCCCCTATCAATTACACCCCAATAGTTGAGGGGTTTTGCGCGGTTTCCAAGTGCTATGCTCGGCCTTAGGGATGAGGGCATCTTTGGCCGTCTTTCTTCATTTTTATTAGCTTAAATTAGGTGAGCCTCCTTTTGGTTGGGTGTCGCTCAGTGGGAGCAAGGCTGGGGGGTTGTTCCAAATATACTCCCAGTCTTATAAAAACTTTAAAAAGGAGTTTATTCGGGTTCGACCTGTTAATACCGAATCGAGGAGTGATGAGGTCTTTCATCACGAGGTGGAGCCGAGGTTCCCTTTCTTTTGGCAAAGGAGCCCTTTGAAGTTCAATGGGTCGAGTTGTCTCCGACAAAGACGATATTACCGACTTAGTGGAGTTGTCGCGGCCGTTGGACTGCAAGCTTGTCTTGACCCTTGCCGATTTGACAGACAAAGAGAAGGGTTTCGAGAGTGAGTATTTTGGTTGTTTTTCCAGGTGTGCTTGCTGAGTTATTTGCTTATCGTTTTGATTATCTCCATTTTGTTTTTGCATATCTGATGGGGAAAAGTAAGTGACGCGAACTGAAGGCGAGGTTCAACACCGAGGAGCTTGAGGTGCCCGATCCCGGTAAGGAGGAAGTTGCCTCCTTGAAGCCTCGCTACAAGAGGAAACGTGCGAGGGAGGAAGTTTCGTCGTCCCTGGTTGCGGATGAGGCAACCTCGAAAGCCGCCAAGCTGACTGACACCATTGACTTGACCTCCAGTCCCCGAGCTGAGACCCCCTCGAGGGAGCCTGTGGTGGAGGCTACCCCGGAGCGACAGGTTTTTGATCTTATCTTTGCCTTTGTTGTCTATCTTTTACCTCGCGCAATGAGTTTGAGTTTAACTTAGTATTTTGTTTTTTTCTACAGGTGGTGCCGACTTCCACTGTCACCGATGTCTGTGGGGTAGGTTTCGATTCCAGGGTTGTCACAGCGGCGCCCTCAAGCGTTGTTCTGCCTGTCCCTGGTTCGTCCTCCGTGTCGAGGTCGAGGTGTATTTATCAGCGGTTTGACAAGGATAATCCGCTGGCGAGGTTGGATCATGTGAGCATGTCGCCCGACGTGACTTTGCTATGGAGTTTCGCCCTGACCGCCGAAGGCTTCTACAAGGAGGATCCGACCTTTGTGGCTAACAAGGCGATGATTGAAAAAGTCAGTCCGGTGGGGGCTTGGATTCGATTGAGGTCTTCATGCAGAGGTCTATTGTCATAGTTGACCATTGGAAGCGTAGGTGGCAAAGGCATCAGGGCGACCTGGAGAAGGCGTAGAGGGAT